TTAAATACCAACCATTATCCAAATTATTTGCAAAAAGCGGGATAAAGTATAAATTATATTTCTGACTTGCGACAATTTTTTCGTGAGTACGTAAATACGAATGGATTTTTTTATATTCGGGCACTTCAATGTCCGCATATATATCTTTTATTATTTTATAAATACGAAAATATGTATCAAGAATTAATTATAATCGGGCAGTTTACCACACATTTTAAGTCCATGGATCGCCGTTGTATTTTGTAAATACGAAATAGGAATCAAAAATTAATAATAATCGCGCAGTTGACCACACATCTATGTACATAGATTGCCGTGATATTGTGCCCGAATATAATTTATTTTTGATTCCGTATTTCATTCCTTGAACTTAATATCTGTTTTTATAAATTTTGCAAGCAGTTCACGCACGAAGACTTTGAATAATGATGTATTAGTCAAATCGAAGTCCTGTTAGACCACTGGTTCTCAACCAATGGGCCATGGGCCACTGGTAAGCCTCAGAGGCATTTTGAGGTGGGCCACAAACATATTATAAATTACAAGGTTTGTTGATCTAGAACAGCTAGATATGAAAATATATATATATTAATTTGTTTGCACATTACATCAAAATTAAAAAGAATATAACGAGAATGTCATGGCCTTCAATTCGCCAGGCTCGAACTGAGCATAACATATAAAAAATTAACAAAAAACGAATCCACGAGGACATTGTCTTATAAATACGAACAGAACAAACATTAAATTACCCAATTCCTAATATATTAAATTTTCAAGTATTCCTCACTATCCGTCGGAAGAAATTTCATCCACTTCTTCCTTTTAGTGTTCAGCTTTTAGTGACTTCAACCACCTCATTATTCGTCAGAAAAATTTCACACTTCTTCCTTTTAGTGTTCAGCTTTTAGTGACTTCAACCACCTCATTATTCGTCGGAAGAAATTTCATCACTTCTTCCTTTTAGTGTTCAGCTTTTTAGTGACTTCAACCACCTCATTATTCGTCGGAAGAAATTTCATCCACTTCTTCCTTTTAGTGTTCAGCTTTAGTTTAGTGACTTCAACCACCTCATTATTCGTCGGAAAAATTTCATCCACTTCTTCCTTTTAGTGTTCAGCTTTTTAGTGACTTCAACCACCTCATTATTCGTCGGAAAAATTTCATCCACTTCTTCCTTTTAGTGTTCAGCTTTTTAGTGACTTCAACCACCTCATTATTCGTCGGAAGAAATTTCATCCACTTCTTCCTTTTAGTGTTCAGCTTTTTAGTGACTTCAACCACCTCATTATTCGTCGGAAAAATTTCATCCACTTCTTCCTTTTAGTGTTCAGCTTTTTAGTGACTTCAACCACCTCATTATTCGTCGGAAGAAATTTCATCCACTTCTTCCTTTTAGTGTTCAGCTTTTTAGTGACTTCAACCACCTCATTATTCGTCGGAAGAAATTTCATCCACTTCTTCCTTTTAGTGTTCAGCTTTTTAGTGACTTCAACCACCTCATTATTCGTCGGAAAAAATTTCATCCACTTCTTCCTTTTAGTGTTCAGCTTTTTAGTGACTTCAACCACCTCATTATTCGTCGGAAAAATTTCATCCACTTCTTCCTTTTAGTGTTCAGCTTTTTAGTGACTTCAACCACCTCATTATTCGTCGGAAAAAATTTCATCCACTTCTTCCTTTTAGTGTTCAGCTTTTTTAAAAAAATTTCATCCACTTCTTCCTTTTAGTGTTCAGCTTTTTAGTGACTTCAACCACCTCATTATTCGTCGGAAGAAATTTCATCCACTTCTTCCTTTTAGTGTTCAGCTTTTTAGTGACTTCAACCACCTCATTATTCGTCGGAAAAATTTCATCCACTTCTTCCTTTTAGTGTTCAGCTTTTTAGTGACTTCAACCACCTCATTATTCGTCGGAAGAAATTTCATCCACTTCTTCCTTTTAGTGTTCAGCTTTTTAGTGACTTCAACCACCTCATTATTCGTCGGAAAAATTTCATCCACTTCTTCCTTTTAGTGTTCAGCTTTTTAGTGACTTCAACCACCTCATTATTCGTCGGAAAAATTTCATCCACTTCTTCCTTTTAGTGTTCAGCTTTTTAGTGACTTCAACCACCTCATTATTCGTCGGAAAAATTTCATCCACTTCTTCCTTTTAGTGTTCAGCTTTTTAGTGACTTCAACCACCTCATTATTCGTCGGAAGAAATTTCATCCACTTCTTCCTTTTAGTGTTCAGCTTTTTAGTGACTTAGTGACTTCAACCACCTCATTATTCGTCGGAAAAATTTCATCCACTTCTTCCTTTTAGTGTTCAGCTTTTTAGTGACTTCAACCACCTCATTATTCGTCGGAAAAAATTTCATCCACTTCTTCCTTTTAGTGTTCAGCTTTTTAGTGACTTCAACCACCTCATTATTCGTCGGAAGAAATTTCATCCACTTCTTCCTTTTAGTGTTCAGCTTTTTAGTGACTTCAACCACCTCATTATTCGTCGGAAGAAATTTCATCCACTTCTTCCTTTTAGTGTTCAGCTTTTTAGTGACTTCAACCACCTCATTATTCGTCGGAAAAATTTCATCCACTTCTTCCTTTTAGTGTTCAGCTTTTTAGTGACTTCAACCACCTCATTATTCGTCGAAGAAATTTCATCCACTTCTTCCTTTTAGTGTTCAGCTTTTTAGTGACTTCAACCACCTCATTATTCGTCGGAAGAAATTTCATCCACTTCTTCCTTTTAGTGTTCAGCTTTTTAGTGACTTCAACCACCTCATTATTCGTCGGAAAAATTTCATCCACTTCTTCCTTTTAGTGTTCAGCTTTTTAGTGACTTCAACCACCTCATTATTCGTCGGAAAAAATTTCATCCACTTCTTCCTTTTAGTGTTCAGCTTTTTAAAAGAAATTTCATCCACTTCACCTTTTAGTGTTCAGCTTTTTAGTGACTTCAACCACCTCATTATTCGTCGAAGAAATTTCATCCACTTCTTCCTTTTAGTGTTCAGCTTTTTAGTGACTTCAACCACCTCATTATTCGTCGGAAAAATTTCATCCACTTCTTCCTTTTAGTGTTCAGCTTTTTAGTGACTTCAACCACCTCATTATTCGTCGAAGAAATTTCATCCACTTCTTCCTTTTAGTGTTCAGCTTTTTAGTGACTTCAACCACCTCATTATTCGTCGGAAAAATTTCATCCACTTCTTCCTTTTAGTGTTCAGCTTTTTAGTGACTTCAACCACCTCATTATTCGTCGGAAAAATTTCATCCACTTCTTCCTTTTAGTGTTCAGCTTTTTAGTGACTTCAACCACCTCATTATTCGTCGGAAAAATTTCATCCACTTCTTCCTTTTAGTGTTCAGCTTTTTAATTAGAAGAAATTTCATCCACTTCTTCCTTTTAGTGTTCAGCTTTTTAGTGACTTCAACCACCTCATTATTCGTCGAAGAATTTCATCCACTTCTTCCTTTTAGTGTTCAGCTTTTTAGTGACTTCAACCACCTCATTATTCGTCGGAAAAATTTCATCCACTTCTTCCTTTTAGTGTTCAGCTTTTTAGTGACTTCAACCACCTCATTATTCGTCGGAAAAAATTTCATCCACTTCTTCCTTTTAGTGTTCAGCTTTTAGTGACTTCGACCACCTCATTATTCGTCGGAAAAAATTTCATCCACTTCTTCCTTTTAGTGTTCAGCTTTTTAGTGACTTCAACCACTCATTCATTATTCGTCGGAAAAATTTCATCCACTTCTTCCTTTTAGTGTTCAGCTTTTTAGTGACTTCAACCACCTCATTATTCGTCGGAAAAATTTCATCCACTTCTTCCTTTTAGTGTTCAGCTTTTAGTGACTTCAACCACCTCATTATTTCGTCGGAAGAAATTCATCCATTCTTCCTTTTAGTGTTCAGCTTTTTAGTGACTTCGACCACCTCATTATTCGTCGGAAAAAAATTTCATCCATTTCTTCCTTTTAGTGTTCAGCTTTTTAGTGACTTCGACCACCTCATTATTCGTCGGAAAAAATTTCATCCACTTCTTCCTTTTAGTGTTCAGCTTTTAGTGACTTCGACCACCTCATTATTCGTCGGAAAATTTCATCCACCTTCTTCCTTTTAGTGTTTCAGCTTTTTAGTGACCTTCGACCACCTCATTATTCGTCGGTAAAAATTTCATCCACTTCTTCCTTTTAGTGTTCAGCTTTTTAGTGACTTCGACCACCTCAATTATTCGTCGGTAAAAAATTCATCCACTTCTCCTTTTACTGTTCAGCTTTTTTAGTGACTTCAACCACCTCATTATTCGTCGGAAGAAATTTCATCCACTTCTCCTTTTAGTGTTCAGCTTTTTAGTGACTTCAACCACCACATTATTCGTCGGAAAAAATTTTCATCCACCTCTTCTTTTTAGTGTTCAGCTTTTAGTGACTTCAGCCACCTAACTACCCGTCGGAAGAAATTTCATCCACTTCTTCCTTTTAGTGTTCAGCCTTTTAGTGTTTTTTAATTTTTCACCTTTGGGAACACTTCAAATTCCGTTTTCCCTCCACTTCATCCGTTTCTTCCTTCAGCCTTTTAGTGTTGTCCGCATTATTGTTTTACATGATCTGTATTTGAATATCTTTATTTGAATTCAGAAAACCGCATTACGCATCGCAACATTTGGATCATTACGCATCATTCTGTCATTACGCAATACCACACATCTACACCTCTTTCAACATTGTGAACTGTTTTACTGGATTTATTTCAATATATCAAATTTCATTGAACAACATCATTCTTTTGATATTTGTGGCATTGGAGGACACACTGAGAGTTGCGCGTTTTCGAATAGTTTTCCAAAAATCAAAGAACAGCCAGATATTTCAGTCACCCCCTTATGCGACACCTGTATTTGCCAGGATACATAGCAAAGGTGTTACATAAGTAATGATGAAATTTAAATCGTATTTCAAATGTTAATTTATTGCAAAAGACGTTGTAGTATATTTAATTGTGTTTCAGGTTCGTGGCAAGGGAGTTCAACACCCGAAACCAACGCAATTTCGTGTGGCTGTCAAACCTATTTCCGTCTCACAATTTATGAGCACCCCGACCTCAACAAACTACGAGAACGATGATACACCCCATTTGCTCGAATTCATAAAAACAAATTTAGAAACCAGCAATTCGACTCTAAAAAAGCAGCAGCTCTTTTTTGACACATGTGAAGCGGATGCTTTGTATTATTTAACAGGTTGGGCTGTGCTCAAAGAAGTGAAAAAACAAGACTGTGGAATCTGCAAAGATGCGTTTGTTTCTATGGAAAGGGTCAATCCCGATGAATGCCCACAGTCGTTACTAACACTTTTTTGGTCTTACACACCTGATAAAAACTTGAAAATTGATAGTTTCACCCAATATTTATGCCACCCATCCGAAAAAGCAATCGTATTTTTGCGCGAAGTAGAAACTGTATTTCGCGCCAATATTAATGCCTTTCACAATATATGTTCGCCAGTTACTTTTCTGATAGATAAAGTTGACTGCTTGAAATATAATTTCCCATCTTGCCACAATGTCGCTTTTAAAATTTTGAAACGTTTTCTCACTGTAAGGTTAAATATTCATGCAAAAGAGGTGAAAATAAAGGAATTGAAAAACAGTATGCTAGTAGAACTGCAGCAAGAGCTCAAGTCAAATAGATAATATATATTATACACTCCAGATTATTAGATTCATGCAGGAACCCCACAATTTATTCACATATATTTTGTAGTAATGTATAATGAATCATTTAATTCACGGTGATAAATGAATTGCCATCTTTGTACTTGTTCAGGGCACACATGGTGGAACTCCATATTCTATTCACATATATTTTTTTGTAATACTGTGTAATCAATTATTCAATTCACGGTGATAAAGGAATTGCCATCTTTGTACTTGTTGTGAGCACACATGCTGTAACTCCATAATTCATTCACATATATTTTTAATTCACTGTGATATTTGAATTGCCATCTACGTACTTGTTCTGAGCACACATGCAGGAACTCTATAATTTATTTACATATATATATATTTTCATGTGGTACTGTAAAATGTGTGATAAATATAACTTTCACTGTGCAATTATAAAATAGATAAACTAATTTGACAATTTTTATACCAAACCTTACGCGTCACTCATTGAACCAAAGGATAAAGATGTTTAATAACATCTGTATTATTGATTCATATATAATTAGTAGGGGAAGGTGGGGTACGTTGGACATGGGGCACAGTGGAAAATCAGCTATCACACTGATACTATATCCGCAATCCTGTCCGCGGCTCAATGTTCCAATCCGCCCTTCGGTGAGTTACAACGTCCCCGCGAACGGACAACGGACGGGTAGAGCGGCGCAAGCTATGGGGTGAAATTGGTTTTGGGAGGTTGAAAAAAAAAATTTCACCGTTCCAGTTTTTTTCTTTTTTTTAGTTTAGCCTTTCCAACGAGACAAACCATCGTCTGATATTCTTTAGCGGCAGTCCACTGTAAAATATTCCTAACGTTAGCGAGTGGCTGTGCCTTCCGAATTTTGCCGTGGGATGGTCTGAAAATATTTGTTCCTATGGGGAACAATGGACCGGGGTTCAGTGGGACATGCTCTACAGGGCACAATTCGACAGTGTTTGATACAATAAGTGCTTAGAGACTTAGAGATGCGTTATATTTTGTGTAATATAATGGTTTCTTTTGACCCATGGCCCAATATGGAATATATTCGAGAATCAATAATATTTCCAGATTTAAATTCGAGGAAGGAAATAATCAAATTTTTTTGCAAAATGTTTGTCAAAATATCTGAACTATTTCAGTTGAACATTGATTTTAAAAATATTAAATCTTCAAATCCGAAGTCTCCCCGTACTTTAGACGATTATGCTGATTAATTGCTTATTTTTAAGGACATACTTCGTTGAATTTTGACAGACTGACCCATTGTCCCCCAGGGTCTGTCCGATTGTGCCCCACAAGTGGGGTACAGTGGGACACTTGACAGACGTTTTTCAAAGCATTTTGGTGGTAAGATGTATGTCGCAAGAGAATTTCTTTGTTGCTGAATAAAAACTACATTTACCCCTCTATGCATTAGTCCCGCAAACTTAAGAGAATATGCAGAACTAACGGCTCAAAATATGCAAAAGAAAAAAAGTGTCCCAACCTTTCCCACTTTCCCCTACTGCTGTAAGATCAATTTTATATTGTTGTGCTTGACGTGCTGCTAAATTCTCATTCCAATGCTTGTTCTGTGCACTTCCTATCAAATTTATGTTTATCTCCATCCAATCAAATTAAAAATAAGGAAAACTCTTTTTTGTTTTTATTATTTGATTTAATTCATCCTATATAGCAGACTTCCACCCACAAAAATAAATTCAATGAATTTGAAAATTTATTTGGTTAGTTCCCCTATCTTGTTTCTAATTTGTTGATCGGTCATAATTTCCAGGCGCATAGACTTGATGGTGAAGGAAGTCGTAAACGACCAGTGGTTGTGAAAACCATCCTGAACCGTTGTAAGGTTCAGTAATTTTCCTGCACATAATAACGGGATGTGACACCCGTAGGGGAATTATCAGAAGTGCTAGGCAAGTTTAGTCCTACGCTTAGGGTTGCCAACTATGAAAAGTTTCAATAAAGGACATTGATTACCGTCATCATATATTTTGTAACTTGCAGGAAAGAACAATATAAAACAATAAAATAAAAATTATATACAAGCTAAAAAGGTATAATAAAACAATCTACACGTCTTTTTCATTTATTGTTTATTTAACATTGGACTCATACCCATACAATGTTAATAAAATTGTTATTTCTTTGGTTATTTGAGCCTG